AACTGATTTATGGACTGATCGTGTGAGCGATATCGATCTTGAAACCTTTCAAGTTGATGATGATATTCTTCTTCAACATACTTATGTCATCTTAAGAGGTCTAGAAAAGAAACAACAGACAAATAATAAGTCACAACAACAACAACAAATAGCAGATATTCAAAGTAGAGAAGGTCAACAACAAAAAGTTCAAACATGGTTTGATGTAACAACTAGATCGGCAACAACGCCCAAAGTGGTTGCTGATAAAAAAGGAGACAAACCGAAGATTCGTGTGTAATCTGTTACTTTTCTTTGTCATTCATTAAAAGAAATAATTTGAAAAATAAATACGCGTAAGGTATTTTCATCGAGTTTTACATGATTCAAAAGAAAGGGAAGTATTAAATATGTTGAGAATTAATCTACAATAAGATGATTGTTATCACTAGATTGATAAAACTTTATTTATGCAATCATAACTATTGCTTGTTAATTTAACTCCGATCAAGTAAAACTAGTATGAATTCTACTCTACGTTTTATTAGAAAATCAATAAGGGACTAATATGAATATTTATTTCATACATTTTCGAATAGAGTCGTAACTACGAAAATCAACAACTATTTATTTATACTTTCCGACAATAATACCAAAAAATATGAAGATAACTGTCCTGTTGTTTTGAAAAAAACATCTTCGCTTCTCTTCAATTCTCTTGCGTAGTCTTATATTAGTTTCTCATCATTCAAATTCAGTTCTTAACGCGAAAATTCGTCTAACAAAGGAAGTGTTTGCATTATAACCGAGCTAGACTTGATCATTGGCGTCAAAAGAAAGCTCTCATCGCCAAACTAGCAAGGTCAAAATATTAGCCGCCGTTGACGTACTCTAAGGGAGATATTCAAATTTTGCGGTATTATCGGTCGGGATGTACAAGTATGTTAGGATTATTTACATTAATTTTTTATACTTCAACTACGTATTTCAATAATAGACTACAAGAATCTTTCTAAACTTGATCGATAGCATTGAGATTACATTACATTGTAAAAAAAGCGTCAAATAAAAAACGAAAAAAGGGTTTATTAAAGTTTCATAAACCTTTCCATAAACCCTGAAAAAAGGTTTTTTTATGAGGTTTATGACTCTAAAATGCTGACTTCAGAGAGCTTATAAAAGGGTTGATAGTGCACATAAATCTTTAAAGGGTTTGCTATACATTGCACTTTCATAAACCCTTGAGAGGGGTTGATAAGCATCATAAACGGTAAAATTCAATCTTCAAAAACCCGTTCAAAAGGGTTGATGATAGCATGATATCCTTACTCACGGCTTACAAAGAGTAGGGTGTGGGTGTGGGTGTGTGCGGGTGTGTTTGTATTAAGAAAGATTCACACCCATTCTTACTTAATATTGTGGATATCAAGAAACCCAATGCTGCCGTACACCTAATACACGAACAATGCCTCACATACTTTAAAAACAATGTGGAGACAGGTAAGTACGAAATGCATATTCTGTTTCATCCATACAGAACATGCACGTATTCACATCTTCCAATCAATATTTCTCAATAGAACAAAGTAACCACTGAACGACTAAAAGGTTCATTCAAACTTTCGGTTCAAGTTTTCAATTTCACTATGCTGAATATTCCTCATAATACAAAGAATCAGATACACTAACATAAAACAACAAAGCAGGATCTATCTAGAAACATAAATCACATTGTGGAGAGTGAAAGCCAAACGACTTCCATAAGATACCATAGGCATATACAGTGAGTTTGCTATACCTCTCAGTAAATATCACACTGCTGAGGATCGAGGCGAAGGAAGCTTCATGTCAAAGTAAATCTTGTCAATTAAAGAAAGTAAAATTTCAAACAAAATACAACTTTCTCCGTATAAAAAGATGCAGTCTTATGTATGAATACCAATAGTTCGATAATTTCATCAAGATACTAACAAGTTTAATAGGTATAAAATATGTATATTATAATTAGCATGCTACCTCAATGTTATGTTAGGATAAACCGAAATACTAATTTCAATTTTAACGCTGTATTTATAATTAATTTAATATTCTTCTTTGAATTAGCACGAATTGGTCTAGAACTTCTTTAAATATTTGGAGAGTTCTAGATTTCTACCTAATTAAAGGTGGTAAACATACCTGAAGAGTTCCTTTATAAAGGACGAAACAAGTCATAGGATGTCTGTCGATCTATAGTATTGTCTAAAAAATGATTAAATACTTAGGCCACTTGATAAGATTGAATCAGTATCATCGAAAATACCTGGTATTCGTGGTACATCATCCACACTCCACACCCGCACTCCTACGCCCACCCTGAGATCGAAAATTCGCACATATGTAATATTACAAGATATGTCTTATGAAGATCTGCATACTCTATTTGACCCTGTTAGGCTGACACATACACCAACGGTGGTTAAAGCTGTCATTATGCAACAAGATATTATGCCAAGCACGATTTCAACAATTGCTCCAACTCCTAGACCTAAAAGCAAACATTGTGGTTTCATTACCATGTTGGAGGCAGTTACGGAACATTGAATGCAATTGTACTTTTTTTGCGATGTATTCGAGAGAAGGCCAAAGATGATGCCTAAGAGCTGTTCTACATTTTAATATCGTTTTTCGTCAGTATATTGATCTTTTCCTATAGCTTACCACATAAAACACTAAATTATTAATTACGAAATCATGGATATGTGTGAAACTCTAAAAGAATGCCTTTTTAACTGTTTTCGGTTGGATTTGGTCTTGTGGCGACGGTTTCTCCGATCGAGGCTCAGTATTTTTCATTTATCCGGTTGAAAGGAGCTCAGATGCGCCAAGAACTATCCATCATGGTAAATGATCTTAGGGTGTGGGTGTGGGTGCGTATATCATTAATCAGTATCCACACACACACACCTACACTCAACGTATAAATATGTTTTATTTTTCAATCGCTGTTCATGTTGTTTACAACGTATACATCCTTCATCTTGAATCGTACTGATTCATTATATGATATGAACGACGCTTCTTATTCAACTTATTACATAATATCAATTTTCGATGTTGTATATCTTCTCTTACTTTCTCAAGTATAAAATTTGGCAGTCGAAGTTACTATCGTTGCTTTGCTTTTATTATATTTGCTTGTCGTGGAAGAATTATATGTGCTTATTGAAAAATAAAACATATTTATACGTTGAGGCACGTATCATCATAGAAGCATTCAAATGTTGACTGTAAAAGACCGCTCACGATTGAGCATCCAACGACGATGCCTATAAAAATGAAATATCAATGATAAGCAATTTAGTTTTTCATCTATCATCCTTTAATCATAGTCCTTTTTGGAACTTTCAACAAGTTAATGGACAATGATAAAAAAAAACACATGAGAAAGCTGTTTAAAGAGTTTACCTGGAAATACACTTGAATTACCAGTCCAATCGTAATAAATAGGCATTTTTGTACAATTTGATTGACCATTTGGACAAAAACAAGTACCATTATTCAATGAAACTGGACTGCTACGAAGAATATAGTTTTCCTCTAAGCTTGAATATTCTACTTTCCAACTTGTCATAAATCGGTTATGAAATTGATTTGCTTCAAGCATATCAG